AATTCTGGGAGGTTCAGCCGAGATTTGGAAAGTTCAGCCGCGATTCCTGTGCGTTTTCCCCAATTTCCTGCAGGTTCACCCCGATTTTGGGATGTTCAGCCCCGATTTTGGGAGGTTCGGCCCCGATTCTGGAGTTTCAGCCCCGATTTTGGGAGGTTCGGCCCCGATTTTGGGGGGTTCAGTCCCGATTTTGGGAGGTTCGGCCCCGATTTGGGGGGGTTCAGCCTCGATTCCAGCAGTTTCACCCCAATTCCTGCGCGTTTTCCCCCAATCCCGGTATCCCTGAACCCCGAAACCCCCCCGGGACCCCCGGATCCTCCTGAGCCCCAAATCCGAGCATCCCCCGAATCCCTGCACCCCTGAAGCTCCAAATCCGACATTCCTGAACCCCCAAACCCCCAAATCCGACACTTTTGAACCCCCAAACCCTCCCAGCAACTTCCCACAGGTATTTTCTTTTATTTTCTTTTATTTTCTTTTATTATTTTCTTTTATTTTCTTTTATTTTCTTTTATTATTTTCTTTTATTTTCTTTTATTTTCTTTTATTATTTTCTTTTATTTTCTTTTATTATCTTTTATTATTTTCTTTTATTTTCTTTTATTATTTTCTTTTATTTTCTTATTTTTTCTTATTTTTTTTATTATTCCTTTTATTTTTATTTTATTTTTATTTTTATTCTTATCCTTCTATTTATTTTTATCCTTATATTTATTCTTATTCTTATATTTATTCTTATTCTTATTTTAATTCTTATTTTAATTCTTATTTTTATTCTTATTTTCACTCTTATTTTAATTTAATTTTATTTTCACTTCCATTCCTTCCCCTCCTCTCTCTCCCCACAACCCGATGATCCCAAAACCCCCAAATTCCCGGGAACGGTTCCCATCCCTCGGCCGTGCCCCGGCAGCGGCTGCACTCGGGATGAACCGGAGCTCCGGGAGCGCCGGGAGCACCGGGAGCGCGGGGAGCGCGGGGAGCACCGAGAGCGGTGATTTAGGGGAGCGCCGGGAGCTCCGGGAGCACCGGGAGCGCGGGGAGCGGTGATTTAGGGAAGCGCCGGGAACACCGGCAGCGGCTGCACTCGGGATGAACCGGAGCTCCGGGAGCACGGGGAGCACCGGGAGCGCGGGGAGCGGTGATTTAGGGAAGCGCCGGGAGCACCGGGAGCACCGGGAGCGCGGGGAGCGGTGATTTAGGGGAGCGCCGGGAGCGCCGGGAGCGCCGGGAACACCGGCAGCGGCTGCACTCGGGATGAACCGGAGCACCAGGAGCTCCGGGAACACCGGGAGCGGTGATTCAGGGGAGCGCCGGGAGCTCCGGGAGCACCGGGAGCGCCGGGAGTGGTGATTTAGGGGAGCACCGGGAGCCCCGGCAGCGGCTGCACTCGGGATGAACCGGAGCGCCGGGAGCGCCGGGAGCACCGGGAACACTGGGAACACCGGGAACACTGGGAACACCGGGAACGGTGATTTAGGGGAGCGCCGGGAGCGCCGGGAGCACCAGGAGCACAGGGAGCACCGGGAGCGGTGATTTAGAGGAGCTCTGGGAACACCGGGAGCGGTGATTTAGGGGAGCACCGGGAGCCCCGGCAGCGGCTGCACTCGGGATGAACCGGAGCGCCGGGAGCGCCGGGAGCACCGGGAGCACCGGGAGCACCGGGAACACTGGGAACACCGGGAACGGTGATTTAGGGGAGCACCGGGAGCGCCGGGAGCACCAGGAGCACAGGGAGCACCGGGAGCGGTGATTTAGAGGAGCTCTGGGAACACCGGGAGCGGTGATTTAGGGGAGCACCGGGAGCTCCAGGATCACCGGGAACACCGGGAGCGGTGATTTAGGGGAGCGCCAGGAGCGCCAGGAGCGCCGGGAACACTGGGAACACCGGGAACACCGGGAGCAGTGATTTAGGGGAGCTCCGGGAACACCGGGAACACCGGGAACACCGGGAGCGGTGATTTAGGGGAGCTCCGGGAGCACCGGGAGCGGTGATTTAGGGGAGCTCCGGGAACACCGGGAGCACCGGGAACACCGGGAACACCGGGAGCAGTGATTTAGGGGAGCTCCGGGAACACCGGGAACACCGGGAACACCGGGAGCGGTGATTTAGGGGAGCTCCGGGAGCACCGGGAGCGGTGATTTAGGGGAGCTCCGGGAACACCGGGAGCACCGGGAACACCGGGAGCACCGGGAGCGGTGATTTAGGGGAGCTCCGGGAACACCGGGAGCGGTGATTTAGGGGAGCGCCGGGAACACCGGGAGCTCCAGGATCACTGGGAACACCGGGAACACCGGGAGCAGTGATTTAGGGGAGCTCCGGGAACACCGGGAACACCGGGAACACCGGGAGCACCGGGAGCGGTGATTTAGGGGAGCACCGGGAACACCGGGAGCGGTGATTTAGGGGAGCACCGGGAACACCGGGAGCGGTGATTTAGGGGAGCATTACTGGCACGGCGGAGCAGCTGCGCCGGCAGATGAAACATTTCCCCGGCCGCGGAATTACACACGGAGCCTTGGCCGGGATCCAGGGATGGAGTTTGTGCCCCGGAGTCGCCCCCGGGGGTCCCTCCGGAGGGGGGGAAAAATCCTGGATTCGTCCCTGGTTCGGGGTTTTTATGGGAATCGTGGATTGGATAAATCCCGGATTCTTGGTTGGGTTTTTATGGGAATTGTGGATTGGAAAAATCCTGGATTCATCCCTGGTTCGGGGTTTTTATGGGAATCATGGATTGGATAAATCCTGGATTCTTGGTTGGGTTTTTATGGGAATCGTGGATTGGACAAATCCCTGGATCGGTGTTTTTGTGGGAATCATGGATTGGATAAATCCTGGATTCTTGGTTGGGTTTTTATGGGAATCGTGAATTGGACAAATCCTGGATCCCTGGTTGGGTGTTTTTCTGGGAATCGTGGATTGGGTAAACCCCGGATTTCCTGGTTTGGGTTTTTATGGGAATCGCGGATTGGATAAGTCCTGGATCCCTGGGAAGTGTGGATCCCGATGGGATGGGACGTGGATCCTGTTGGGATCGGGTGGATCTTGCTGGACACGCGGATCCTGGTTTGGGATTCCCAGTTTGGGAATTCCCGGGATGAGAAGGACACAACTGGGGTGACCCCAAATCCAAATTCCCAACCCTGGAAAGGCACCAGATTCCCGACTTCCCGATTCCTGGGAACGGGATGACCCCAAACCCAATTCCCAGGAATTCCAATTCCCCCCAAATCCAAATTCCCGACCCCGAAGAGGCACCAGATTCCCGATTTCCCGATTCCTGGGAATGGGGAGGACGCCGCTCCTCTTCCCAGTGCTCTCCCCATTCCATGGGGAAACTGAGGCACGCACCCGGCCCTTCCCATCCCCTTTTCCTCCCGGAATCCCTTTTCCCACCCATCCCATAAAACCCCTCCCGATCCCCAATCCCAGCGCAGCCGAGCCCTCGTTAAGGCCTTAACGAACCAAAACCCAACAGAACCCAACAGAACCCAAAAGAACCCAACAAAACCCAACAAAACCCAACAGAACCCAACAGAACCCATCAAAACCCAACAGAACCCAACAAAACCCAACAGAACCCAACAGAACCCAACAGAACCCAACAGAACCCAGCAAAACCCAACAAAACCCAACAAAACCCAACAAAACCCAACAAAACTCAACAAAACCCAACAAAACCCAACAAAACCCAACAAAACCCAACAAAACCCAACAAAACTCAACAAAACCCAACAAAACCCAACAGAACCCAACAAAACCCAGCAAAACCCAACAAAACCCAACAGAACCCAACAAAACCCAACAAAACCCAACAGAACCCAACAAAACCCAACAAAACCCAACAAAACCCATTCCTCCTCCTCCTCCTCCTCCTCCTCCTCCTCCTCCTCCTCCTCCTCCTCCTCCTCCTCCTCCTCTCCCGCTTCCCAAAATCCGGGAATTCCGGGAAGGAGCGCAGCGGAGTTCGGCCGGGCTCGGCGTTAACGATTTCACGGAAATTAACGTAATTAGCGAACATCTGCGCGATGCCGTTGGGCAGCGCCGAGCGCCTTTAACGAGCTTTTAATCCTCCCCGGCAGCCCAAGCACGGCCCCGACCGCGGGGTTATCCCGTCCCTAAGGATGCCCAAAAATCCCGGGATTTATCCCAAAATTTATCCCGGAATTCAGCAGAGAAGGAATTTTTCCTCCTTTTTAAATTGGGATTGCGAGAGCGGCCGAGGCGCCGCTCGGCCCGAGGGGTTTTGGGATAAATTTGGGGTTTTTTTCCTTAAATTGGCATTTTTTTTTTCCATCTGGATGCCCAAAAATCCCGGGATTTATCCCAAAATTTATCCCAGGATTTATCCCGAGATTTATCCCGAGGTTTATCCCAGGATTGAGCAGAGAAGGAATTTTTTTTTATGGGTTTTAAATTGGGATTAGGATTGGCGGAGTGGCCAAGGGATTTGGGGGATTTCTGTGGGATTTGGGGTGTTTTTTATGGGATTTGGGGATTTTTTTGCGGGATATGGGATTTTTTTGTGGGATTTTGAGTATTTCTTCGAGATTTGGGGGATTTCTGTGGGATTTGGGGTATTTTTACAGGATTCAGCATATGTTGGAAGTGTTTTTGTGGGATTTGGGGCATTTTTGTGGGATTTGGGTTATTTCAGTGGGATTTTGGATATTTTTTGGCGGGATTTGGGGGATTTTTGCAGGATTTGGGGTGTTTCTGTGGGATTTTGGATATGTTTTTGTGGGATTTGGGGTATTTTTGCAGGATTTGGGGTATTTTTGCGGGATTTGGGGTATTTTTGCAGGATTTGGGGTATTTTTGCGGGATTTGGGGTGTTTCTGCAGGATTTGGGGTATTTTTGCAGGATTTGGGGTATTTTTGCAGGATTTGGGGTATTTTTGCAGGATTTGGGTTATTTTTGCAGGATTTGGGGTATTTTTGCAGGATTTGGGGTGTTTCTGTGGGATCTGGAGGCCTGACCCCAATCCCGGTCCCACAGGAATACCCCGGCTATGGTTGGTGGGTCGGGGAGCTCGGCCAGGAAATCGGGATCGTCCCGAGGGAATTCCTGGCGCCGGCCTTCGACCTGGAGGAGTGAGCGGGACACGGACACGGACAGGTGAGGGGTTTGGGGTTTGGGGTTCGGGATTTGGGGTTTGGGGTTTGGGATTTGGGGTTTGGGATTTGGGGTTTGGGATTTGGGATTTGGGGTTTGGGGTTTGGGGTTCGGGATTAGGGCTTTGGGGTTTTGGATTTGGGGTTTGGGATTTGGGGTTTGGGGTCAGGTTTGGGGTTTGGGATTTGGGATTTGGGGTTTAGGGTCAGGTTTGGGGTTTGGGTTTGGGGTTTGGGGTTTGAGGTCAGGTTTGGGATTTGGGATTTGGGGTTTGGGGTCAGGTTTGGGATTTGGGGGTTTGGGGTCAGGTTTGGGGTTTGGGATTTGGGGTTTGGGGTTTGGGATTTGGGTTCAGGTTTGGGATTTGGGGTCAGGTTTGGGATTTGGGGTTTGGGGATTTGGGGTTTGGGGATTTGGGTTTGGGGTCATGTTTGGGGTTTGGGATGTGGGATTTGGGGTGCAGATTTGGGATTTGGGGATGGATCCATCCCCGCGGTCTCCATGTCCCGTTTTCCCTGGAGCAGGAGGTGGCAGCCCGCGGCATTCCCTGGATCCCAAATCCCACAGATCCCACAAATCCCATGGGATTCACGCAGCAGAGCCTCCACGGCGCTGGCACCGAGCGGATTTATCCCAAAAACCCCTCCGGGAGCCATTCCATGGGGAAACTGAGGCACGCATCCCGCTCTTCCCAAAAAAATCCCGAATTCCCTGGAGATCTCCCGCACTCATTATCCCGCTTTTCTTGCCTCAATCCCAAATTCCCTTGAAATCCCAAATCCAGGCGCTCTCCCTCAATAAATCCCTTTTTCCTCTCCAAAAAAATTCCTCTGGGAATGGCCGGGAATGGCTGGGAATGATTGGGAATGGCTGGGAATGATCGGGAATTATCCGGAATGGCCGGGAATGGCTGGGAATGGTCAGGAATGATCGGGAATGGTCGGGAATGATCGGGAATGATCGGGAATGATCGGGAATTATCGGGAATGATCGGGAATGGCCGGGAATGGCCGGGAATGATCGGGAATTATCCGGAATGATCGGGAATGGCCGGGAATGATCGGGAATGATCGGGAATGATCAGGAATGGCCGGGAATGATCGGGAATGATCGGGAATGATCGGGAATTATCGGGAATGATCAGGAATGGCCGGGAATGATCGGGAATGGCTGGGAATGATCGGGAATGATCGGGAATGGCCGGGAATGATCGGGAATGGCCGGGAATGATCGGGAATGATTTGGAATGATTAGGAATGATCGGGAATGATCGGGAATGGCCGGGAATGATCAGGAATGGCCGGGAATGATCGGGAATGGCCGGGAATGATCGGGAATGATCAGGAATGATCGGCCCCTTTGCTGTGAGGGCGAATCCAGTTCATCCTCCTCCCACTTTTCCTGCTTTTCCTGGTCTCCCTCCCCTCCCGCACCTGCTGCGGGGCCGCTCCATGGTGGAAGGGCTCCAATCCCTCCGGAATTCCCAAAAAATATTCCCAAATGCCGCTGGGATTCCCAAACTGGGCCCAGATCCCTCTGATATTCCCCAAACTCGGCTCAAATCCCTCGGGAGCGGATCCCCAGGCTGGGATCAGATCCCAGGATTTGGATCAGATCCCAGGATTTGGATCAGATCCCTGGATTCCCTCCCCTCACTGCATGCTCATGAATATTAATGAGTGCTTATGAATATTCACGAGCTCAGCCAATCGCAGCCGCGCTCGGGGCCCTGAACCCCTCCCGGCATTCCCAAATTCCCTCAATCCCGGAATTCCCGGCTCCTCCCCCCGGCAGAGCCTCCTCCAGTTCCGCTTTAATTCCAAGGATTTTTATTAATTTCACTGTATTTTAATTTTTATTGTTTTTTATTTCCTGCCCACACCCCGTGCTGAGGGAGGGGGAGGCACCAACCCCACCCCGAGCCGCTCCCGCTTTTCCCAAAAATCCCTGGAAAAGCCCCAGCAGGAAGGGGGACACAAATTCCAGCCCCATCCCTCCCTCTTCCCGCCGGGAAGCTCGGCTCGGGTTGTCCCGCTTTGGGAATTCCAGAGGGTTTGGAGGCAGGAGCAGAGCAAGGAAAACAGTGCTGGGAATACCAGGGGATCCCAGGGAATGCCAGGGAATATCGGGAATCTCCAATGGAGCCGCGTTCCCAGCGCTCCCAGTCCGTCCATCCCGGGGCTCCGCGCTGATCCCTCTCCCAGCGAGGGCTGTGGGGCCTGAGGGTGTCTGGAATTCCTGGAATTCCCGGGAATTCTGGGAATGCTGCGCTCTCCAGAGGGGTCACTCCGTGTCCAGCCGGGAATTCTGGGAATTCTGGGCTCTCCAGAGGGGTCACTCCATGTCCAGCCGGGAATTCCAGGCTCTCCAGAGGGGTCATTCCATGCCCGGCCGGACATCCCGGGGCTTCTCCGGGCTCTCCAGAGGGGTCACTCCGTGTCCAGCCGGGAATTCCAGGCTCTCCAGAGGGGTCACTCCGTGTCCGGCCGGACGCTCCGGGCTCTCCAGAGGGGTCACTCCGTGTCCGGCCGGACGCTCCAGGCTCTCCAGAGGGGTCACTCCGTGTCCAGCCGGACGCTCCGGGCTCTCCAGAGGGGTCACTCCGTGTCCGGCCGGACGCTCCGGGCTCTCCAGAGGGGTCACTCCGTGTCCGGCCGGACGCTCCGGGCTCTCCGGCCGCGCCTCGTCCATGCCGAAGTCACTCCAGTCGGAAAAGCTCTCCGGGCAGCCCTGGGCGCTTCCCAGCCCGGCCCAGCTGGGAAAAGAGAGCGGGAAAAGGGATCCAGGGAATGTCCGGATCTCCTGGGCAGCTCCATCCCAGGAGGGAGGAAATTCCCATCCCAGGGACATTCCAGCCTCCCTGCCTGGGCTCCTCTGGCCCGGGATCCGCAGGGAAGGAGCCGGGAATTCCCGGGATCAACAGGAAGGAGCCGGGAATTCCCAGGATCCGCAGGGAGGGAGCCAGGAATTCCCGGGCTGCTCCTCCTGTCCCTGTCCCACAATCCCAGCCGGGATACCCCGGTCATTACCTGGCTCCGGGCATGGCCGCGCTGTCCCCGCGCTGTCCCCAGGCCAGCCCCGCGCTGTCCCCGCGCTGTCCCCGCGCGTGCCGCACGATGGCCTGTGTCACCGAGAGCGGCGCCCGGCCCTGCACGCAGGCCTCGATGGCGGCCGGGGGCAGCTGGCTCTGCAGGAACAGGTGCAGGCGGCTGTCGGAGAGCAGCACGGCGCTCTGCAGCACCCTGGGGACACGGGGACATGGGGACACGTCACCCTGGGGACACTGGGACATGGGGACACGTCACCCTGGGGTCACGGGGACACGTCACCCTGGGGACACGGGGACACGGGGACACGTCACCCTGGGGTCACGGGGACACGTCACCCTGCTGGCATGGTCACCAGCGTCACGCAGCGCTCCGCTGTCACCTCAGCCACCCCTGGGCACTGTCCCCTCCCCTTTCCCAAACCCCAAATCCCAATCTCCAAAACCCCCAAACACCAAACCCCAAATCCCACACCCCAAATCCCAAACCCAGACCCCAAACCCCAAATCCCAAACCCCAAATCCCACACCCCAAATCCCAATCTCCAAAACCCCAAACCCCAAATCCCAAACCCAGACCCCAAACCCCAAATCCCAAACCCCAAATCCCACACCCCAAATCCCAATCTCCAAAACCCCAAACCCCAAATCCCAAACCCAGACCCCAAACCCCAAATCCCAAACCCTAAATCCCACACCCCAAATCCCAATCTCCAAAACCCCAAACCC